TAATACGGACAATTAACATTAGGATTTTCTCCTGTGTCTTGGGTGCCTTTACCAACATATAATTTGACATACACATCACACCCAGCCGCGGAACAACAATTTGTGGATCACACAAAGAATTGTTCCGTGCGGAAATGAAACTCGCGACACGTTGCGCGACAGCCAGTTGCACAGCCACCGCACCAACTGTGCAGTCATGTCAGTCATTATCAATATAACCCTATATGTTACTTCAGGCTACAATCTTCCTCTATACCAAATTTTATTCAGATTCGTTAAGTAGGTAACATATTAGGGAGTAAAACACATATAAACGTCCTCATCTTATCAGTTAAAATATTAGTACGAAAGATACAAGAACAATAGGGTAGTTTCCTAAATTTTATTTTAATGTCCGTCTGGTCCATTAATTTAAAACTTTAGACACGTATTTTTTCTTTTCTCACAAAATTAAATACTTTCGACGATATATTAATTTGAAATATCGTGTGACGTCACAGCGTGCCACATTTTGTAGCACGTTATGACGTAACGACCTCCCACTCCTAAACTTAGCGCCCTTTTATCTAAGTATTGCAAGTTAATACGAGAAAATAAAAAAATACGTGTCTAATATTTTTTCATTGTCTAACTGACAGACTAATTAGATTTTTAATTTTGATACCCTGGAAACTACCCAATTCATCGTACTGTCTCTGACAGACATACTGTAAGACTATTTAATCTTTAAATTGATGTTTAAAAAGTGCATGTGTACGTTATGGTTTTTTTTGTTTTGATGGCATATCGCATATGGCATATGTAAACGAGCAGACGGATCACCTGATGGTAAGCAATCGGCGTCGCGCATGGACACCTAGAACACCAGAGGCGTTACAAGTGCGTTACCGGCCTTTTGGGGATTAGGAGTTTGAGGATCGTTGGAGATTCAGGGATTGGGGAGATTGGGGAAGGGGAGGGTAATTGGGCCTCCGGTAACCTCACTCACACGACGAAACACAACGCAAGCGTTGCTTCACGTCGGTTTTCTGTGAGGCCGTGGTATCACTTCGGTCGAGCCTGCCGAAGCATGGCTCTCCCACACTTAAAATGAAATAAATGCTTCAATTTTGATTCAACCGAGTTGTTCAGTAGATACTACATTCTTGCACCATATGCGACACTTGCTTATGTTTCGATATAAATTCAGAGCACGCACTGTGGCGGCTTGTCATGAACATAATATTAGGTGTTTATTGCCGTTCACTTGTAAATATTGTATGTTGAAGTATTTTAATAATTTGTCGTAATTTAAGAGTTATTTTTCATGATATTATGTGAGTGTTGTAAATATTTTGTGCTTTGCGTTGCTGTTTGTTTTGTCTTTTTGAATGTTATGTTATATATGTGAAGCTAATAACAATAATACCTGAGTGTCGATTCTGAAAGGAGTAGAAAGAGGTGTGTTATGTAAAATCGGGTTAGGTAAGGATATTACTCGGCACTTTTATTTGTTTCTTCTAGACTCAATTTTCGATTGCATCTATCGGTTATCTTTGCGTAATGTTTTATATTCGAAAATTACAATGCTAAAATAGGTTGTCTGGTGATAATGCTCAACGAATCATCTTGCTTTTTAGTTACATATCTACAACGCAAAAATAGGGATTAGAATAGGCCAGTTATGAAAATTACGAACTTCTATTACAAAAAAATATGATCAATTTGAATTGAAATTCTAAAGAGGACTGAATATCACAAACATTACCTTTTGGAAAAAAACATAGGTATCTTGCTGAAAATGGTTTTGAAGCAACTTCACTTAAACAAGAACACAGAGTAGACAACAAACAAAACACGTCACATTTAAACAAACAAAACAAACACAATCCTATCTTAATCCTACGGTTGTATGCACATCACAAACACATATATACTTCATAAAACTTAGAATGTGTTCGCACGGCTATGTTGTAAGGCGTACCGAGTAGCGACGGCGCGGTGGGCGTGTCGCAACTACGACCGCCCAGCGAACCGCCCTTCTAGCATACTAGCCTTCGAAATATTATTCGAATTATTCCTAGGATAGAGGAGAATTAGTTTTGAATAGATTAGGTTTACTATTGGTTTTAGACTTGCCAAGTTACAGGCATTAAGAAAGTTTGTTTGATGTAGAAATTATGTGACTAAGATTGTTTTTAGCAAATTGTTTTAATATTTGATTGTTATTTTAAAGTATTTCTATGAATTGTAAACTGAAATATGTATAATTCATTTGGCTGTTTTAAATGCAATTTAATTACTCTAAAAGAAATGCAGCACAAGGTAATGCTGATCATGTTATATTTGCGTTTCCCACCGTCGTAATTGCGTAAATTCACATTCATAAAAACAAAAAGTTATAACGTAATTATAATACCGACTAAAAAAGAACTTCAATACAATAATACGATTAAATATTGTGATTTTATTGAGGCTGTAAAATGTATGTAGAAGAACAACTCCGATAAACCCAAAAGGCAAAGCAATTCTTTGATTATTATGTTAAAATTTATAAATGCATGTTAAATGCAGCAAAAAAATTAAATACATATGAACAATAAGGTATACATTTTACATTTGACTAACAATAGCGTAGATTTTTTACAATAGCGTACACCTTTGCTACGAATTTCGTAGATGGCCGACGAAATTCGTAGCCAAGGTTTTATACCTGGGCTACGAATTTCGTAATCTTTAGATTTAATTGCTTATTAAAATTATTTAATTTAACATAATATTCTTATATTTGTTTCTCTAAGTAACAATACTGAATACCAATGTTGTCAATTGTGTATGTTATTATTTTCGTAAAAAGATTATAATATTGTGAAGCCCAAACTGACCCAGATAAGGTTATACAGGTGCACTATATCGTAAAATTTAGGATGGCTTTGTGATATTCCCATTTATCATCTATTTGCCGTATGACCAAATATGTATAATTCTATAGACACACAGTTTATAGAACATTCATTTTAGTAGCTAGAAATTTGTTTGGTAAAACTTCCTTGGTATCCTCGTTATCATAAGATGTTCACCGCTGAACATTGCCTTGTTAAATGACTTCTAGATCAACTGATTAAAAGTGCCTTGCATTCAGCAACTCCTTGGGAGTTTTATAGGATAAGTCTGTAAACGAGCAGACGGATCACCTGATGGTAAGCAATTGGCGCCGCCCATGGACACCTGGAACACCAGAGGCGTTACAAGTGCGTTACCGATATTTGTGGGTTAGAGATTTGAGGATTGTACCCTTAGATCCTGTGCCTCAAACTCTTAGGAATGCCTGAGAGTTTCGGTCTCTTGTATATTCGATAATGATGTTTGTGACGGTTAAATGTCGACTGTCAGACTGTCATTAAATCCTCCAATTTCACCGTATGTGCAATAAGGCTTAATAATAAAAAATAAAATAAATCAATTAAGTGATCACTATCAGTATTTATTATGCAATAAATCAGTGTTCAAATAACCATCATTTATTCATTTATCAAGATAATCTATATTATCTTACTTTGTTTTCTATAACCAAAATAAATATATTACCTATAACGTTGTTTAGGATAGTTAAATATAATATGTACTTGAAAAACCATAATTTTCAAATAATTTTCAAATCAATATTAGAGTATTTTTAATATATTATTGTTATATTTAGCTACCTGATAGAATATCTCGGTCACGTACTGAGACATAACAGATACATGCTGCTTCATCTTATAACGATGGGTAAGGTGGAAGGGAAGAGAAGCGCTGGGCGAAGGAAAAGGTCGTGGCTGCGCAATATTCGGGAGTGGACTGGTATCAGCTCTGTGGAACAACTTTTCCGTCTGGCCAATGACAAGGACCAATTCAAAAAGTTGATGGCCAACCTTCAGGAATGAAGTGGCACCATAGGAAGGAAGCTACCTGAATATTTATTATAGGACCTACCTACAGCTTGTACGTAACGCAAATATACGTATATAATTATATAGGTACATACAAGTATGTTCAACACCATCAACAGCCTATAATTGCCCACTGCTGAGCAAAGCCTCTTCTCACGTGAAGAAGGATTGAGCATTAATCACCACGCTTGCTCAATGCGGGTTGGCGATAACAAACTTATAATTAGAAATTATAAGTCCAGGTTTCCTCACGATGTTTTTCTTCGCCGTTTGTCAGTGGTGTCTAAATAATCTTAGAAAGTACATATAACTCGGAAAAAGTCACATTGGTACTTGCTGTTGGTAGGTTTCGAATCCGCACCCTCGTGCATGAGAAACGGGCGTTTTAACCTCCAGGCCACCATGACACAAAAATATGTTATATACCTACTAAAATAACTGCGGAGTTGGATCACTTGGAATAGGTAATTAAATAAATAAACAAAGAAACTATTACATTAATGAATTCAATATGTTTTGAAATTGTCTGTATCTATCTAGGTATATATTTAGGTTATCTACCTAGGTAGGTATGTAAGTACATACCGAAGTATGCATGCACATACTTACGTTTGTAAGTACATACGATCAAATCATCGAATGACTGCTCCCGCCTGGGTGAGGCGGGAGGGAGTGTCAGACTCTTACTGACTAAAATCCACCCCGTTCCTTCTCCTGCACGTCGAGCCGGAGCCCCGGTTACCCGTTAGGTTCTCCGCGACAAGTAAGTACCTACTAGGCATTGATTATGTATGATTACGTATTTATCTATTTATGCATAAGTATATTATGTTTATAAATTAATTGACTAAGTTACTGAATATGTACCTACAGAGTAAATTAATAAAGCCTATGTATTAATATTGGTAGGTATACGTGTGTAGATATAGGTATTAAGCAGTAGATGTACTATTGTTTATATACATTAATTTAGTATCTATTTTAAATTAATCACCAGATAATTAGGTACCTAATTACATAATTCATTGCTTACACAACTATGATTATATTAAGGTATCTATACAAAATATAGAAACAATAGATACTCACATTTTACCACGACGTGAAACCACAAAGTACAGTCAACACAAAAATCTTAGTCATAATCCAAGAAACACTAAACACAGCACTACACTAAAACTCGAGTATGTATTCACAGTACACAGTTTTATAAAACACTAGCCACGAACAGTCAGCAAAAAATGATTCAGTAAATTGTTATCAGCGTTACTATCGGAATGTCAGTGTGGCGTGGCGACTGTCAACTGTCTACTAAACGAATCGTCACTGCTTGCTTGCCGCCATGCCCACTTCCATACAACACTCATTCTCTAGTCGACGTATCTCACAAAAGTAAACAAAGAAAATGTTATCTTCACCCCACCACATAAAGCTTCAAATTCCATTCCTTATCTTTCGGCTCTTACGTTCACACGGTCGTGGAACGTTTCTATGAAATATATTTGCTGTACTGCTCGCACCAAAGGATTGTGCGATGTTGCGTCTCTATCATTCTATGTTTGGTATTTTAGTTTTTAAATAAATTATTGTTTTAAATTTTAGCAATAATTTTGTAAAGTATTTTGAAAATAATATTTATTTCTCGAATTAGGATGATGCGACAATTTTGGTTATTTCAAATAAGAATTCTGTATTGACAATGAACAAAAGTTGTTGTAAGAACGCTTCGCCGAGCGCTCGAGTAGCGCCATCTCATTTACTCTCATATTTCTTGTTTGTTTCACGTCCCGTGATTGGGCCAATAGCATTTACGGAGCAACCCACCTTACGGCATATAAACTAGCGCGGAATATTGTACTCTATCGCTTGTGAATAAAGTTTAACTTTTTAGCATTTAATTCCGAGTTACCGGCGTTTGTCACGCAAGAGTTCTAATTTTAAATCAAGTGTAGGCGGAGCTCTTGTGTCGGAGCTTTTATATTGAAAAACAAAATGTCTTTAACGAAAACCTGTTTTGAGAAACTTAAGCCTTTTATGTACGGAAGTTTTAAGTTTAGCGTTGAAAGAGACTTGGGACGTTTCGGTCCGGAGCAGCGCGGACCTAGTCTCGCTGAAATAAAGTAAAAAACTTTAGTAACCGGCTTGTCGGTATTTTCCTTTTGTTTGATTTTTGTTTTGTGAACGGGACATTGCATGAGAAATGCAATGCAACAATATGGCGTCGTATTCATCTTTACTACGTATGCAATTTTCATGGATTATTGAGCTTTGTGAGAGATGAATATAGATAACGATACGTATTTCGTATTCAGTTGGTATAACCTACCTAGATACTGATGTATGTAGAGAGTCAGTTGTATATTTTGGTTGTGAGGAGCTGGTGTCTGTGTGGAAGTAGTGGGTAGGTGCGGAGGTTCGTCTGGCGTCTGTTCGGCGGGTGAACTCATTACGGTTGTCGGTCAAGGCCTCGAGGTCGCTGCGGTGGGTGGCCGCCTTAATTACACCCTACGATTTAGGATTTCTTTTCTCGTGCACTGTTGTTCATGACTCCTCATACATTCTTGTGGGCACAGACGTGTGACTATCAAGATGTGGAACTACTTTTTGTTGTAAATTACACAATTTTATGTTACCTATGTAGCTATGTTTTTAATGTTAGTTTAATATGTATTTAGTTATAAGTATTCACATTGACTTTAGGTTTTGTGCTATTTTCTATGTTAGCCTAGAGTTTGTACCTACATTAAGTTCTGGTTTGAGTTTCTAGGTTTGGTAAAGTATCTGTTTGTAGCTAGTTGATAGTTATTTGATAAATGTAATAGTCCTATGTCTCAATTGGTTTTATATAGATTGTATACCCATTATTATTCATCTTTAGTTTAATTATGTCCTACATTTGTCGTCATCATCATTAGTACATTTCCGACCACTGCTGGAAACCTCTACAATAGCATGTCATTAAATTCGCCAAATTCAGCTCTTCGCATTCAGTTACTTTACCAATAACACACCAACACCGCGCGCCTCAAAGAGCCATCAGACCACCACAGATGGGGCCCAATAGGGCTGATGCCGATATGGAGTCGTGGAAGACTTAACGTGTTGTCGGGGCTCCGGCTCGAAGGGCAGAAGTACGGAACGGGGTGGTTTTAGTCATTTAGAGTCTGACTCTTACCTTACCTCACCCGGGCGGGAGAAATCATTGAATGATTTTCTGTCCCCGAAAACATCTTATAAGTAACTAGCAAACCCGGTGAACTCCATTTCGCCACCACATGGCTTCGTTTTATTTAACCTTTCGTTTGGTGATTAAAAGATGAAGAAATTTTTGTTTTCCTGAATTTTCTCTGCTATAATCCTCACGGAGCCCGAGATCTTTCTAACGAATGCAAAACCGTGGAAATCAGTTCGTGCGTTCTGGAGTTATAGCGTCAGGAAGGAAAACCCGACCTATTTTTATATAGTAAATATACACTTTCCTATTTGTATAATTTTTACATTCATATACATATAAGATCTTACAGGTACCTACACCAATAAAATGAATATAAGTACCTATACATACACACATATATCAACGCTATACAAAGTGTAGCCTTCAGCGAGTAGCTTTATATATCGTTGAATATTCACGAGGAGACTTAAAAGGAATAATTAAATGACGTTAAAAACTTATTTAAATATTCCACAGAGCTACGAACCGCGTCCATCAGTTATTCAAAACCTGTTTCACTCATTAGTTGAGTGCGTATATACGCTATTATTATTATTATACCTAGTTGCTATAGTTACGTGTTGGTTGATGTCTACGCATACTGACTATACCTACCTAATTTTGTCTCTAATTAAGATCATTGTTGGTACAAGTCATTTTTGGTGTCGAATGATACAGACTGGACTTGCGAAGTTGTACAGATGAAGCTCAGTTTCGTGCTATTGATGTGGTCTAAGCGGAATCAAATGAACTGATGATATTATGACGAATGATCATGATGGTGGAAAGCGACCTAATAGAAGTTAAATGTCTATCCTCACCCTAGTGGTTTGTGTTCGGTTAAGATGTTTATTTGTTACCGTAGCTGACTGTACCTGTACCAACACACATTTGTTCTCTCTGCACTTATCTTAAGTTTAGGATAGTGCAGTACCTAGCGACTCTCCTATATTTTTTTTTCTCATCTGCTGACTCATTGTTTCATGTCCCTAGAGATCAGCAATGCATTGGTAACGTCGCTAGAGTGAAACCTCCAGTAGCGGTCCTCAACGTCCAGTGATCCTATACCATCAGTGATTTCTTTGTTCGTTTGTCTTCTATAGAAAAATCATTAACTACACAACAGTCATCGCGGAGAACCTAACGGGTTACCGGGACTCCGGCTCGACGTGCAGGAAAAGGAACGGGGTGGTTTTTATTCAGTAAAAGTCTACACTCCCTCCCGCCTCACCCAGGCGGTCATTCGATGATTTTCCCCCCTAAAAAAAACTCAACAGTCCATAAACTATGATACTTGTATTGTAAGTACTATATTCCCATATTGTACTTACAACACAAGTAAAAGTGAAAAAACGCATCAATAACATGGAACGTTTAAGTTAATAGTAAGTTAGTGTTAGATCGTGATCGGTGACTGTCGATGATTAATGTTAGTATCGCATACACGTTTAATTAAACTGTATCAAAACATTGATACGTTGTAATTATACTCTTAATATTGTATTGTTGAGATTGTATGGTACCGCGTTCTGTATAGGTACTCGGCAATCTTCGGATATTTTCGGAAATACGAAGGTGCGAGGTGTGCTGTAAGTTGTAGACCTATATAATATAAAACTTACATTGTAATCAGATACAAGAGTAAATATTTTACGACTTCTTTAAAAACATGATTTGACATTTCATACATTTCATTTCATTACTATGTATGCTTATCGCGTTTGGAAAAAATATGGTAGGTATATCTACATGTGTTAGATAAAAAAAATCTTCCACAAAATGTGGTAAACAATTTCACGCTCATAGATAACGGTTTTTCGTATCCACCGATGCAAAAACAAAAATAGAAGGCTTCAGTCCCGTCAAGTGATAAGGTATAATTTAGCCTCATATTACGAGACATGTGCACGAGAGGGTTGACTGTCATTAGTGTCAGATGCTCTCGGTCGGGCCGACCGTCTGTCAACTGTTGACGAGGCTGCAGTCAACGGGTTACATCTTGGTCATTCTCAGTCAAGGTGAATGATTTCAATGACATTGTTTTGATAAGTTATCTTTCGATCTTGTTTTGATAACTTTCACTGAGTCCAAACTAGTAAGTTGTGATTTGGACTTTAATATTATAAAACGAAAATCTCTCAAAACCACAATTCAAGACAAATTCTCATCTAGGTAAGATATGCTAGCAAAAGAGAAAATTGTTACTCAACTATCATATTCATCTCAAAAAGTTGCTACAAAACATTTCTACCTGCACATAATCTTTAAAACTGAACCGAAGAAACGGTACATTTGTTCAATTTACAGATCCGTTGTTTCTCCGTCTAATTAGGCCGGGTTTCCTGTACATTTCCCACCTGTCGAGCCGCTGCCGCTGCCACTGACGTACCTAGCGCCTACCTCTCGAATTAATTACTACGATCGATTAATACCCGCCAAGCCAAAACTTAATTATGGGGAGAAATTATTTCGCGAGTTTTTGTGCTGCGTGCAGATTTTTGATTTAGTATACACTGCTTTGGACTTGATTGTCTATCATTGTACTAACAACTGCGGCCTTAAAAAAAAATATATTTTTTTTAATAAATTTCACCTATCTTCTGGTAGAGTTTCACGTTCTACCTGATGTTGTCTTACATTATATTTATGTGTAGTTCTTTCTACAAGTAAGCAGATGCATAGTGCAATGTGTATCTTGCGCAGGATACAGGTGTCTGCATGTTAACTCTACTGTAAAAGTATCTGTTCTTGTTTTCACCAATTCAGTAATATGAATCCACTTTCAGATAAAATGGTGGTGTCGTCAACTTGTCTTTACAAAACAAGATCCACAAACGTCCTTCCCAACATATTTCTTCGTTATTGTCAGATTTTAAATGGTTACAATGTATCAACAGTCTCCCGGGGCAGTTCAGTGCACCTCGGCCACCGCTTTTTGTGGCGTCGAACGCTCACCCGCTTATTTGCTATCATTAATCATTATTTCGGCCCAGCGATGGACCGTCGTATGCCTCACAATTTGAGAAAATAACCCTTTTTTGTGTTTTAAGTAAGTTGGTTTGCAATAACATCGGGT